TCTATTACTATTTGTTACTATTTTCATGTAACTTTTTTTTATAAATATGTAAATGTAAATTAATTCAATAAATAATATTTATTTAAAATTTACATTGATTGTTTAGAAAACTCTATTGGCTTCTAAATTTACTCAATGTTCACATTGATGAACAGATTGTGAATAATTATACAACATAATTTTTTTTTTCATTGATATTATAATTGCCTCAAGCCTAATTATTTCTTATCTCGTCGCAAAGCCAATTTAAAATATTCGCCTTTTGTAATTTACTTTTTTTACTTTCATTTCCATATCTCTTTACTGTACTAACACATAAATTACGTCTCATCTTTTATTTACATCTAGTCTAAGTTGGATAATAACTAAAAAATAAAACGTTATAATTTCATATGTAATGTAAAATAATGATTAAATTATATAATAATTAATTAATATAAACTTTAATTAGTGATATAGATTTGAATGCAGCTTTTGATAAAGTGAACACGAGTTGAATATAAAGGATTTTTCTTTAATGTTATAGAAACAGAAAATTCGTTACCAATAGAAAGAGCTTTTTTCTATACTTCTTTACTGAAAACATAATTACGTATTGAAGTGAATTGCCTAAACCGGATCGTATCGTGATGAAAGCAGCAAGATAAATGAACGACTTAAACAGATTGAAAACGTTCGGAAGATTCACACAAGAAATAAATTCTATTGAAGATTTCAACAATGTGATTTGTGGACTAACTCGATTTTTATCTTTCCTAAAAATGTATTTCTTTTTTCTCTCTATTTTTTTTTTTAATTTAAATTTGCAATTAATTAGGTTTATTTCCTTCTTAATTAAAATAATATATCTTCAAGAAAAATAGGATAATTAATGCAAATTATCTGTTTTTGTTAATGTGTATGTTTTTATGTTGCAATTTAATGTCTTGTTTACACGTTGATTTCTAAAGAACAATTAATAACGTCAAAGAAAAAATAAAAAAATATCTTCGTTTAAAACATATTTTTTGTTTGATGTTGAAGGAAACGAACGTAAATAGAAATGTTATCTATACAATTATATATGCTAATTGCTAAATTGCACAATTCCCATGGACCGTAAACAACTAATATATTATATTTCATATAGAATTTCAAAACATACATTTATATAAAATTACATACAAAAATAAAACAATAATTGGATATATAAAACTTGATTTCATTTGTGTAAAACTATTAAAGTCTAGACTAAATTTAAAGCAAACTATTTAAAGTTTATGTTCGTGTAATGATGTTTTATTTATAAATTATAATCGTAACATCCTCGAAACTCGCCTCATCAGCGCGAACATAAAAAAAGGAGATAGTAAGGTGAAGCATAATTGCAAATTGAACGTTATTATTTACGCATTTTGCACAAAAACCGGCAGCAATTTCAATAATACACGATTTTTTCTTTTTCCAACGCAATCCTATACATATTCAAATTTTCCCTTTCATCCGGTCGCTCTTTCACATGCAAAGAGATTTTATTTTTTGTGTCCAACCACATATTTTTTTCTCTTTACTCATTTAGTCCTTGAAATAAACATTCCCGTCAATCCTTTTCCTACAAAAATTCGAGCGAAATTTAATCCCGTTGGAATTTTTACTTAAAACATATTTGTTTGCAATTTTTTTTTTAAATTTGTTTTATCTTCAGTTTCAACACAAAAAATTGTCAGAAATCGATTTGTTTGTGAGGAATTTATTAATTAACTTGTTGATTGTTAATTATTAACTAATAATTATGGAGAATTTCTTTACAATTAATTAAAATTTTTTTTTGTATTGACTTTTAATTAACTAGTAGAATTTAACTAGTCATTAAGAAAGGGGTATTGAAAAAAATAATAATTTAGCGAAATGATATGAGAATTCTAATTTGTTTACGGTTATAAAAAAAATTTGCACGTGTAAACAATTAAAAAAAAATAAATTGTAATTGGTGCATATATTAAAATTAGTATGTTTGAATATTTAATTTATTGGAAATGTTGAACTTACCAAGCATTTTGAGGACTCTGCGAGATGATTGCGCCTGCAGTTTATTAACTCCTGCCAAAGAAATCTGGTTGCTGACCATCGTCGAGGATTTCAGTTTGAGGCCGATCATAGCGTAGAGAACGGTGATTAAGGTCATGGGGATGACGAAGAAGACGAGGGTGGAGATGTCGAAGGAGTACTCCATGAGGGGGCTGAGGATGTGGCACATGGATGTGTGAGAGTTACCTTCGATGTCTTCGGATACTTCGAACTGGATGGCTTGCGGGATGGCGAAGCCTACGGCTATGCACCAGATCAGCAGGATTATCTTGATGACTCTGGACAGTTTCGACATGGTGTGCGAAAGAAACGGATGGCATATCGCCACGTATCGTTCCACGGTGAAAGCGGTGATCGTGAGGACAGTGGCGTTAGCTGAAGTCTCAGCGAAGAGTCCTCGCAGGATGCAAAAGGTGTTTCCGAAGATGTACGGATACCTGGACCACATCGAGTAAATCTCCGGCGGTAATCCGGAAACGAGAAGGAGTAAATCCGAAATGGCTAAACTGAAGAGGTAATAGTTCGTGGCGGTATGCATGGATTTGTTCCTTGAAATCACTACACAGGTGCTGATGTTTCCGATTAGTCCGGATAGAAGGATGATCACGTAGATCACTGTTATCGGGATGACGATGAAGAGGTTGTCACGTTTCGGGCCGTACAAGTCGAAGGCCTCCTCCTCTTCGCTCCTTACCAATCCTTCCATTTCTTAAGATCTTTGTTTTCAACGCGATTTTTGTTACGGTTCGGGCGCACGGAAAACGCGCGCTTCGTGTTTCAAACAGGCCGCTCAGGCATCGCGAACAGTTTGCCCCTTCGTCGACGAGAAATCCGACGCGATCCTCTCAAAAACTCCCGAAACGCATGCGTTTCCACCGTAAACAATGCCCGTTTCCACAGTTCACCACATCAATTATTTTCTACCGTTCTTTCCATAAATCCATCCACTCACAAATAATTACTTTCTGTCTTAAAAAAACCTATTAGTCTTTTAAACACTAATTCACAAAAACATTCCGAAAATTATGTAACTCAAGTTATTTGCTTCATTTTAAAAAATACAGTAAATTTGAACGTGAAAATCAAATGTTTTTCTTACTATTAAACAAAAATTTTGAAATCAGCATAACAAAATGAATTTAACTATAGAAATTTGTACACAATTTCTACAAAAATCACCATATCATAAATTACGTAATTATAGAAGAGTAGACAATCTATTTACATTTCTTTCATGTAAAAAATAACGAGGATTTAAAAAATAAAATACTGTTACAAAATCAGAGATTACATAAATTACATTCAATATTCAATTGACTTTTAAATTTGTTAAAATCAACAAGTCAAAAAGTAATGTAACTATTTAAAAAAAATATATTTTATACAATTATTATTATTATAAAATTATTATAATTAAAATAATGATAATTTTGAATGTTTCATATATTGAAATTGATATTAAACTAATTAAAAACAATTTTCCATAAAACTCGCGTCGATTTGAATTAATTCTAATTATAAGTTTGTTTTTAACATTGCAATGTTGTTACATTAATCATTTTAAATGTTTTCTACATGAACATTTCGATTGAAATGAGTCAATTATATAAATAAAAAAAATATGTTTGTAATTGTAAAATTCTCACTAGGCAATAACCAATCATTTCTGTTCGTACACTTTTTCTCCAGTAAATTACGCAAACGAATGCGACCCTGTGCAAAGTGCACTACTTCGTTTTGCATACCGGATTATTAAAATAACTTTTTATTGTTACAATTTCTGTCAAGGTTTCGCGCATCGAATTTCCGGTTGTTTATGAAAATTACAACAACAATATGAAGAGAAAATAAAACATTGGATGTTAAATTAATAATATTAGCTTATAATATGTACATTTAATTTGTTAATACAATTGTTTGTGTTTAGAGAATGTTAAGTTAATTTATAACAAACAAAACGAAGATAATTTTACAATTAACGCGTGTTTTTAAACAATGTTCTTTTTTTTATTATGTAAGTGTTTTCTTTTTGGAAACGAAAATACGTTGCGTGCGTAATCATCAGTTTATTATATTTTTAGCTAAAAAAAAAATACATAATGCGCTCTTGCTGTGCGAAAGCAATAAAAGTAATTTACGACCACTTAAATAAGAAATTTATATATTGAAATCGTAACAAATGGCTTTGGAAGAGATTACTCCAAGTACATCATCAGCACGTCAAGAGAAGAATTACATTTCGTCGCCATATGATATACGAGCCTGCATCACTCAAGACTTCAATTAAGCTATCGAATTAGAAACAGAGATAAATTGAAAAAGAGAAAAAAATGTTATATAACTTGAGATTGCGAAGGTGATGCGATCTATTTTGAAACATGTAACCTAAACTAACGATTTTTTTTTATTCGTCTACATTCTTTGTAAAAGTTTATTTAATGAAAGTTGCGAACATTTATCATCTGAACTTGATACAGACTACAATCAATTTCGGCCAATTTGTTAGAAAATTATTCCGAGAAATCCAAGTAATGATGAAAAGTTAAAAGTCATTTGTATTTATTTGAGTATTGTTGTTACTTCTGTTTGGGGGTTTTCGGAAAGGAACTTTTATTGATGATCGAACTCCCACGCAAAGCCAAAAAACATCATTAAGAATATTACGAAATATTTCAATTAATTAATGAAATAATCAATAATAGATTGAAACCTTATTATTTTTAAAGCTTAAAATATAATTTTTAACTTACATAACAAAAAATAATCTAACCTAAACTTTTTAATTCATTTATATTATACCTCCACGTTTCTATCGACGTGCATAAAACAAGTGTAAAAGAAAATAAATATTACCTTTCGATTAACTTAAAATTTCTGCGTTCTTATTTCACTGCATCAAAAGTTTTCTTTTATTTACAAAGTAAATTGAAATCGAAGTTTCATTCAAGTGGAAACTGTATATTTGCTGTTACATAAATTTAACGTGATAAATAAATGAAAACCATCTATTTTTTCTTGCATATTTCGTCGAGAATTGACGAGGGTCATGAACTTTGTAAGATGAGGAGCTCAGGGATCAAAGGGTTAATTAAGCTGGAAGGTAAATTTATTTTTAATTGTTATTCTTTATTGATAAATGCATAGGCAAGTCGTAAATCACATTTGATGGTGTACAGTTTTAATGGACCACTTTGAAGGGTCTCGTGGTTCCGCGGTACGGTTTGATCCCGCCGAAGAGGGATTTGGAATGCCCGAAATGCTGGATGCGGTATGTTCCCGCTTTCACCTCATCAGTTACTTCCCAATCGATTGTAACCTCGCTGGAGGCGAAGTACGTTCTGTTCCAACTAAATCTGAAATCAAACAGAGAACATCCTGATTACATTCCGAGAGGCATTCATTAATTCCTGATGCAGCAACAGGTATTGATTTTACAATTTTCCGTTTTAAGAAACTGGAAGACAAAAGTTGATTCACTTTTCTGCTCGATATTTGCTGTAGAAATTTCAAATTGTTTTAATAGATAACAACTGTATTTTCTTTCGGTCACGTAAAATTCGTGAAAACTTACTTCGTTTCCCAGCAACCGTCTGTAGCGACGACGTTCCAACCTTCACCTTCCTGCCTCTCAACAGTCAAATAAGTCTTGTCGTGCATCAGATTGTTCCTCGGGTGTCCGGAGACCTGAAAGCCAAGTGGCGACAATACTTTTCTGTTGTATGTAATGCAATTTTCGTTAGAGGAAACTCACGAATTTCACGGAAACCGTCTCTCCGACATTGATTTCTTCGTTGGGTTCTTCGAGGCATTCTCCAAAAGCGCGCGAGTAGTCCGGAAGGTCAAGGATTACGGGAGGAATGAACGAGATGAGTTTCTTCGAGAAGTCCGGTGGGTTTGGACCGGATCCAAGATCTTGATCCTGAAATTAATATTTCTAAGTAATTAAACATTCATCTCTTCAAATATATTAAGAAACTGCAATGATTGTATCAAATTTAAACTTAAATATATTAAAAATATTCAAATTTAGAAGTCGCAGCTTTGTAAGGATAAAAAGTAAAGCTAATATGAAATTCATTAATTCATCCTACGCCCATTTTGCGGAATTTAATATTGCGCAATGATTTTGTGATGGACAAAGCTTTAATCCTGATTACGTTGATGGGTATCACAAATATTAGGACTTACGTTAAGCAGGGCTTCGGTCAACAATTTGTATTGATTCAGATGGATGGGCAGGGTGTAAGGGCCGTAGATCGTCGAGGCAGCTTCATAACGTTGCATCTATTGCACAAACAAACGTATTGTTAAAACTTGCTTTTAATATAATTTAATCTCAATATATTATTTACTTGGTACTCCTCGGGTGTTGTAATGTAATCAGTGTACACGTTGCAGAGACCTGCGAGGATGACCTTGGTGTCCTCTGACCCGCCGTTCTCGAGCACCGTTTCCTTGATGACCTTCTTCATCCTCCTTCCGGACATCGTGGTGAATTCGCCGGGTAAAGCAGCGATTACAACATCGCCGATCATAGCCACCTGCGTCGGGATGATCTCCGGCTGCCATTGGTAGGGCTTAATCATCTGCGAAACAAAATAATCTTTAAAGTGAAGCCTCCGGCGCTCCTCAACGTTAATCATTCCAACTGATTATTTCAATTGCAAACCAATTATCGACTTTAGATTTAATTTACATTTTTCCTACAAATTCCTTCATTTCTCCAAAACGATAAGTATTTCCTAATTACTTGAATCGTTTTTGATCATCTCTAATGAACAGTATTTCACATAAAATCTAAGGAGCTTATGGAACTGTCCAATTAAAGAAATTGTCGCACGTGTCTTCCTTCAATTTTCTACAAAATAAATTCGATCGATAATTCAACGTCTCAATTAACTAATTGACTCATATTTTTTTTATTAAAATTATGTTTATTAAATAATATATGAAATTTAATAAACATAAAACAACTTGACAAATTAATATAACTTTGATATTCCTGTAAACAAGAACTAATTTATTAACGTATTATCGCGTAAAAAAAATATTTATTCACGTCGTCAACAACATATATATTTACGTAACCTTCGACAGATTTGATAAATTATTATGATAAATAAATTAGTTTAATGGAATATATTTTTTTTTATTTAACGTGTTTTTTTTTATATATAAACAAACATTGTGAAAGTGTTGCAATTCTATTTGAAGGAAAATTGAAAGCAAATATTATTTTCCTGCATTCTTTTTTTTTTTATATGAAACATTTAGCTTTAGGCGTGTTGTTTTGTTGCTAGGATCTTCTTTACGTTCTGAAAACAAGTGATAATCGTGCAAAACAAGTTCGGATGTTTTGATTGAAGTAAATAAGTGAAATATTTGAAATTAATTAATTTATTCGTTTTCATTTACGCATATTTATATATGCAATTGATGTAAATACATTTTGCATACAAATTATGCGATATTAAATTATATTTAGATGAAAATTATTATTAAATTAAATAGAATTTGTGCGTTCGTATGATAATTAACAATTTTTGGGTACAGTAATTTACGCTGAAAATAAAACAATATTCGCAATTTATTATTGTTACATAAATTAATAATCGTTATTAAATTAATAATCTAAATTATAATGTATACATTTTGTTTTGTTGTTTGTACTGAATTTTTATGTTGTCTTGGTTTAATCCGGTGTAGACACTTAATCCGCATGTAATAAGTTTTTCATACAAATTTCTTTTACGACGCGAAAAAATTTAGCTGGGATTAAATATGATTTAATCTGAAACTTAGTTTATTTTAAAAAAGGTAATAACCCAATGTAATAATGATAAAAAATCTTATTTAAACAGGGGCGACTAATAGCCGAATGGTTAAGTCAAGATCATCCATTTAATGCCAACCGCGATCTTAAATTTACTCAATGTTTTCATTGATGAACAGATTGTGAATACATTTTGTATTCTTTAATTATTTGACCAAAAAAATAATTGATTAAAGAAACAGTAAATATTTCAATATGTATAATTTTAAATCATTTGTTAGAGTTGTAAATAAACATTATCACCGGTTGTTGTTTAACTTTTATAATACACTCGGTCCTCTTTTTATGCGGTTTTGAAGTTATACGGTTTTTATTTCAAGAAGCATTTTTTTTAAATAACTATTTTAAGCCATTATGACACGTTTTGACACAAATTGTCAAACCATTTCATCGAAAAAGATGATAATTCTTGTGAAGAATCATTATCTTCAGGACATAGATCTGATATGCTAACTATTTTTTCTAGTGATGAAAGTGATTTCGAACCAGTTCGCAAATTATGCCGAACACTCTCATATAGCGACGATAATTCTAAAGGAAAAAAAAATGTTAAGATTAACTTTCATTAAAATTTTCTGTATTTTTTCGTATAAATTTAGAAGGAATATGTTAAGATTATATTTTTCTGAAATTTAATAAACTTGTCTATGATTGTTACCGTTTTTATAAAATTATGAATAAACATTTCAGAAAGAATATAGTAAGACTAATTATTTTTCTGAAATTTAATAAACCCTTTTTTATGCGATTTTCGGATATTGTAACTCATTGATTTAGTTTTATGCGGTTTTAAAAAATTATGAAACGTATCCTTTATTTTTATACGTGTGTCTACTCCTTTTTAGTGCGATTTATTTTTATGCGTTTTCCTGTGGAACGTATCTATCGCATAAAAAGAGAACCAAGTGTATAGTATAAATAGAAATATGTGGAATCGTTGTGAGCTTTTGCCTTTGATATTCTATATTCTATTGTAACGGCACTATCGAATATTACTCAAAGACTACGTTTGAAACATAATACTATAGACAGCAGAAATTGACGTAACTGACGTAATTGACGTATAAAGAAAGGAATAAATGAACTCGAACATCAATTATGTAAACGCTGAGGAAGAGAGAAATATTTATTCGCCTTTCAGCAAAAAGGGCATTGATCCAGGACATTCAGCCTTGATCGTATCTTAGGAGTAACATTGTTTTTACGAAAATATACTTCTTTGAGTTTCGAACGAATCTAAAATTAATTTATGCAAATGTATAAATTGAGTTCATGATTGAAAAGGCAATGTTCCCTATATACATTTCAAGATTTTAAAGAAACGTTAATTATTTGTAAGTTAACAAACTTGTGGACTTACCCTTCCAGTTGCTAAGAGGATGGGTTTCGGTGATTGACAAGAGATGTCTTCGTCTGTGGGCGGCGCGAGGAAATCCCTGACGAAGTTCCAGAACTCGTTCGTTGTGGTCGTACCCTGTTTGAAATCGAACTCTCCGGGTCCATCTGTGGTACCTGCGGCAAAACTGTAACCCATGGCAGGTTTACACCCTCTCACCTGTATTCAAAATAAAAAATAATTACTCGTATTTCCATCCCTTGCAGCGATTAATCTTCCCCCCAAATGACAGTTATTTAAATGAATTTTTCAAAGCAATCCATCAATAGCAACAACATCAAAAAACAACGTTGATTACCTTTTGTACTGTTCCGTTGTGCATCTGATACTCGATTTCCTGTTTGGGCATGTCCACGTACTGATGGATGCTGCGAATCGGTCCGGTCACCTCAGTCGAATCGTTGGTATCAAAAAGGGCCTTAATCACAGAGTTATTAAATCAGTTAAGTAATTGTTAAGAGGAGCTTACGGTGGCTTTGCTAAGGATTCTGTTGGCTATGATTTTGGTGCTGTCGAAGATGTCTTCACCAGGTCCTGAAGCGATGCAATACTTGGCTTCACCGCCGCACGTGCTCGAATCTCTGTCGCAAGGTTCTCCCGTGTTGATGCATTTCGCACCCTTGATGTTCGGCGATACGTCTCCTAAGTTACTCGACGCAAAACCAGCTACAAATTTTCCCTTAAAAAAAATTGAAATAAATCGGAGAAATAGAAAGAATACACGGATAATACTAACTGGAAAACTTTTATGATTAAGTAAGAGATATTCATTGAACTCCGATCTAATTCAAAAAGTTACCAAAGTTGTTTTTCCTGAGAGAAGAAACGTCCCAGTCTTTTTACAGTAAGTAAGAAATTGAGTCGACGTGTTTTCCTTATTCGAGTGTTGCCAATTTGTAAAACGCGGCGAATTGAAAATCCGAGACGCAGTAATTTGAATTCGTCGGCAACAATTAAACTTCGGTAATTATCCATTATTTACACGGAAAACCGCTCTACAGTAACGCATTTAATTCGACCTATTTTTTATTAATTGAAACCGTCCCACCCTCACTTCGTTAACTTTCCATCTCTTTTTCACCCTTTACCAGTCGGAAGCGGATTTCATGCAAATTTGTTTGCGACCTTTACACTCCCAATTACATTAAAAACAACAAAAACGCGCTTTTTCCTTTGACGCTCGGATAACAATGTGAAAGGGCGCGTTGCTTTTTGATAATACTCATTTGCTGAATTAATTGTCCGGATAAAATCCGCTTTTCCGACTTCCATAACAATTTCATTCTCGTTACAATTTAACTCTAAAATTTTAAAATCAATTTCTCAACTTTGAGAGCTTATTGCAATGAAATGACCCAAATTATATATCCAGGATTAGGCTCATTAAAAAAGCCACAATTTTGTCTTTAATATGCATTTTTTTTATATACTAATTAGCGTACATGATTATTGAAAAATGAAATAAATTTTATAATGTCAACTTTGATAATTTATTACATTAATTCAGAAAATACTATAAATCTCTTATAAGAAAAATTAAAAAGGACATGATTTTCTCTTTAATTTGTATATATTATAATGTAATTGGCACGAGTAATGTAAGAAAACGTGAAGATACGAAAAAATAAAAGAAGGGTTCTTCAATATCGCAGAATCTTATAAACAAAAAATAATGAACGCTCCTTAAAAAAACGTTCTTTATTACTTTATTCACCTTTGATGTTCGTATATCTCGTAATATACGAAAGAAAAGATATTTTTATACACGCACGCGAAAAAAAAAAAAATTTGTGTGAAGGCAAATTTATCGAGCAGATTCAATAAAAATTGCATAAACATAAACAGTCTGCTTCTTCCACCACAGATTTTTTTTTCTCTCGGTTTACTATTGAACTTGAATCTGTCTAATTTTAAAACTAATTTATGGTCTTACATCAAACAGTTTTCAATTTATTGATTTATTTTTCTGTTTTAGCTAGTTTGAAACGACGAATACTAATTTAAAAACAAATATGTTTTACTCACTTTTCCTGGCAAGGCGCCCTTGTTGAGTTTCTTCTCGAATAGAATGGATGCGTATCCGACGTTGTCTGATGAAACTAGATGATTGGTGTTGTTCATGGAAGTGGCGTGAACTGGGAACCAATTGATCACACCAATTGGAGAATTATCGACGGAAGAGACGAATTTCAGTTGAACCAACTCTTTGTCAACATCGTGCTCGTATCTAAATGAACGAAAAAAAAATGCAAAATATTTATATAATTAGTTTTAGAAAAGAAACTATAAGTTTTTAAAGGACGTTTTAATGTAAATCTTATAGGTAAGTAGATGTTGAATAGAGATTCCTAATTAGAGAAGTAATTAATCACGAATGATTCAACGTCCTTGTTATCCTTGTATTTGTTCTATTTGAGAATCAATGAGAAATTTGCGGTATACTCACTCGTCGCGTTCGGATTGCGGGTTCAAAAGGTAAGCTGAAGGACTGCGGTTTATGCTGGCGTCGAGGATCTGAGTGGATCCAATGAAGATCTTTCCAGGAACGATGTGCTCGTGAGCGGCTTTAATAGACTACAAAGAAGAGAAGACAAATTAATGCGATTTCCTTACAACGATTTGAGTTGGAGATATACATTAACAATTCCATCGACGTAAGCGTTGAAGGTCTCACGGGAGAAGCCCAAACAGGTGATGTCGAAGATGACGTCCATAAGGAAACCGCCTGGACCGCCGTGCGTGTGCGTTCCGCTGATGATGACGTTCTGCTCGTTGTAGATGTCTCCGTAGTTTTCGCTCAACCTCTTGAGAACCTACAGAAAATTGCTGTCTATAGTGAGTATTTCGTGCAAGTAAATGAGTTTTGTAAGTACCTCTCGTCTGACTCCGATTCCAATCATTCCAACGTCAGCCGTAACGAATACAATCCTGTTCTCGGAGTCCTGGATGATGAACGCTCTTGCGAACTGCCTCAGATGCAATCCTTGTCCTTTTTGCGTCCCTTTCGCATATCCCATCTGCAACGAACGTCAATTTATTTCTTATACACAAATGAGAAGCAAAAACAATAAAAAAAAATAGAAGAAATTGAAATAATTTTAAGTGAAACTTAAAGAAAGAAACTTAAAACAATGTAACGGTTGTAATATTTACATATTTATGAATAGATATGTTTCAGAATATATATGCATTTTGTTAACATAAAATTAACCCAAAATAAATTATTGAAAATTTGAAATAATGAACTAAAAAAAATACAGTAAATTATGTAACAATTAGATTAGATTTGTGTGTTGAAAATAACATGTGAATTTATAAAAATTAAACATATTTAAGAAAGATAATGAATCTCAATGCAAAGTCAATGAAACAATTTCTATAATAAACACACAATAATTAATTTTAATTAAAAAAGAAGATAAAACAATCATGAAAATACCAATCAAATTGTTTTTAGACTAAATCTAAGGAAAATGTATAAATCTATAATAATTTAAGGTAAAAAGTAACAAAATTGTAATATTTTATAAAAAAAATAATAATTTAGATGCAAGTAGAATTGTGCAAAATTATTATGCAAAACGCGTTTGTATTGTACCCAAATATTCCACAAGATTCTAAAGTTTTGTCATCAAGTGAAAGTTAACAGTCTAATCTTGTTCTAGTCACGATTTCAAAGATTCTGCTAAAGTTATGAAACAGGTGGATCTGTGTAATAAAGATTCGAATTGGACGAAATCGAAAAAGAAATCCATTTTCCATTCAATTTAACAATAAAAGAAAAATACATTTATTCCTTTCCCTTCATATATAATAAAAACCAGTCGAAGCAAAAAAAAAAAGGACGCAAAGATTATCCTTGATCTGATCGGTCTTTACGCTGTGATCATATTTTCCTCGACATTGACCTGATCCACATTCGCAGCCTGTTTTCCTCGAATACAAATACAACTCATATTTATATTGATGCTCTTTTATTACATTTTTGTTCTTTTTGCAAACGAAACGAAGGTTATTTGTTTGGTTTCATAATTCGTTGCAAATAAATTTAAAAAAAAAATGAAAGTTTCGAGAAGAAGGATAAATGAGCAAATCGTGCGGAGTATAAACTGCGGTTTGTTTCATGTATAAAGGAACGAAGGGTTTCCTAAGCAGGATCAGAATTATTATTATTCTCGGTGCGTTACAAGGAGATGAATTTGGAGACGGTTTGTGTATGTACATTCGAATGGCAAACAAACAATCATTTAATGTCGCAAGTCGTAATTCGAGGATTTGCGATTCTCAGGAGAGTCTCAACAATCGATCGTATCTCAGATTGATGCTCCTGCAGGGATATCCGCAGGATTTACTACAGACAATTATCCTTCATACTGCTTCCATAAACTGTTTCAATTTACTGCTTCGGATAACAATCAAATCTTTGTCTACAATTTAGCAATTGTTATGTTATAACAACAAAACGAAAATTAAAAGAAAACGGAAAACTCATTCAATTAGAAATGAACAAATTTAATAGCTTGTTTTTTGTTCATTCAACATACATTTTTATTTACTAATGAACTTATCTACATTTTTTTTTAGGTAGATGGAGAGTTTCAAACATTTTAAATGACTAAAACTGATTACGTTGAAAAGTTTGTTGTTGTATTTCTAAACGAGTATAATCCAGCGTTCGTTATTAAAACTTGTGATCATTTCTGTTTTCCCTTCTACAGATTTAGTTACATTAATCCTTTCAAAATCACGAAAAAAATACGAAAAATTCTAAAATTTCATTATTATAACAAAATATCTTTTAATTAAATTGTAAAATATATAGAAGAAAAATTATATATTAAAAATATCTGTGTTAAAGTAAAGTAAAAATGTCAAGATTAATTCTTTTAGAATTATTAATTATTAGGTTTAACCAAATTTTGTTGCCCAAATTTGACAGCTTATTACTATAAAACAGAAAATAGTACAAATCTCGAAGTATGCTTATTGGAAAGGCCATAATATTATCTTCAATATACATATTTGTTGTTTTTATTATAATTCGTGGTTGTTGAGTAATTAACGAAAATGTGAAAATTTCGCTATCCAAATTTGAACATTTTATTACAAGAAAACAGCAATTACTACAAATAAACCAGTAAGCTTATTGGAAAGACCAAAATATTATCTTTAATTTACATATTTCGTGGTTAATTAAGCAAAACGTGAAATTTGTACAGTTTATTACAAACAAAAAAGCGCAGCGCGTTACGCAAAGTAATTTAATTAAAGTCTTGTTATTTATAGGTAATTCAATATCAAGTTACTTCATTTATGAAGGAAAACTTTGTTGTTCCTAGAAATTCATTGCGAATCGAGAATTATACGCACAGCGTAATTTAATTAAAGGCTTCGCATTGTAAATAACTTCTCTTTTTTTTTCAATACTTTCCATTCAATACTTTTAAATTTCCATGGGTTGCAATTCTTCAATTGAAAGCTTTGAATGTAGAAAACTTGGGCTCTATTGGAAATATTATAAAAGAAATTTTATGATCGTAATACATTTTGACGCATAATTGTTAAAGCTTTGAGAAAATATAAGCAAATCCATTGATTAATAATGTATACATAATTAATCTGCTTTTGAAATGTTAATAGTAATTAGCTAATTTGGGGATTAAAATTTGACGTGTGTATATTACATGAGAATAATTGATTATAATTCCAGGAAATTCATTTACAGCTTAGAATTATCCGTATAGAACTTATTACTAAATTTGCAGAAAACATATTTAATATTAATGTAATTTCCTTCTCAATTCTACTTTGGAGTTTAAAGAAATATGTACAATTTTAATCTATTTTAAAGATACTTTTAATTGTATTGATCCATGGTAGGATTACGTTCAATTAGAGCAAATCGATTCAAACTCTATGTTTATCCTATTAACAGTGATCGGTTTACATATACTGATAGGATTAAATGTAAAATTAGTATAATTGATACTTACGAAATTGATTTCTGCAGTTGGTCCAGTGCAGTCGGCGATTCCTACGCCTATTTCGTAGTCGGCATTTGCAAGACCAGCGAGCGCCGAAATAATGGCCAATAAACTGAAAAGCGCACTTGATTTACGTACGGCCATCATCGTAAATCCTCTGAAGAGAAAAAGAAGCATAAGAAAACAAAAGAAATAAATCACGGAAAAAAGAATGCATTATGCGTATAATATGCATTATTTCAAATATCAGTTGAGTGGAAAAAAGAAAAATTTTTTTTTTTGATTCATAATTTATAAACGTGAGCTAATAGCATAATGAATAATGGACGTTGCTTCTTGATGATGATGATGAACGAAATTTTTTTACTTGTTTTCTTTTCTGGCAGGTGGAGGGTGTTTTATATTGAAGGTGTGTGGAATATTTAACTCGTCTCATCCATCTCCTTTTTTTAGCTTAAAAAGTAACGAGACTGATGGATTGGATAAAGAGTTAAAGGTTAAAGAAATATATGAATGTAGCGAAATAATAAATTACGTACTTTGACTCATAGATTTATATAAATATATAATGTAATAAAATATTTTATTTATATCAAATAATTATTAATTCAAAAAAAAAATGTAAAGGTCAAATTTAACAGCAATTTAAGATAATTGGCATTTAGGAAATATGGTTTTTTTTTCTCGATCATTTATGAAGGAAAACTTTGTTCTTCCTAGAAATTAATTTGGAATTGAGAATTATGCGCGTAAAGGCGTAAAAAACTTCAATTCAATACTTCTAAATTATTAAAGTAAACACTTTTCAAAACTTTGAATGTAGAAAATACTCCAGAAATGTTAAAGTGCAATTTAGTGAAATTATGTACAATAAAAGTTTCTTTAATGCATTATTAAAAACTTCAAAAAATAAATGATTAAAACAGTCATAAATTATTATCAAACTGTAATTATTTTCAAATAAATCTATATTTAAATACTGTAATGTTATCCAACACTTTTTATCTTAAATTTAGAAATAGAACCATGATTATTATAGAAATAAATCTAAATATTCTATAATTTATGTTTAAAAACATGTTATAAATAATTTAAAACTTTTTAAAAATAACTTACTGATAACTGTGATAACGGACCTGCTTTAAATAGTTAAAATAGCCAAAATTTAGTGGACTGAAATTGTTTTAATTGTTTGTAAAAAAATGAGATATATAAAATAAATCAGAAATACTCAAAAAAGTATGTTTTATTCATGCCATCAATGAAAAATTATATTTGTGTTATCAGTTAATAATGAAATTCCAATTGATTTTATTTTTAAATATATTCAAACGTTGTTTAAACTTTTCCTAATTCATATTCAAATTATGTTATTTGATGAAGCAGACAGATTTTGGTGGAAGAATCAATTTACATAAATTTTCTTGTGGTTAAATTTAGATATTAATAATTTAATTAGTTATGAACAAATAAAACAAATTGTAATTAGATTTTTCATATATTAAATAAAATTAAAAAAAAATTGTATCAATTTCTTGAATACAAAAGTAGTGTAGAAAACTTATTCAACTATAATTGTTTTCAAATTATGCAATTAAAATAAGGAAATTACTTTTTTTTCAATACTTTCAATTTCCATGCAAAATATTACAATAATTGTAACACTTTTACAAATACTCCAGAAATGTATGAGTTATATTAAAAATATTATATAAGAAACTTAAATGTACTTTTTCAAAAGGGTAGAAAACTTATTCAACTATAATAGTTTTCAAATTATGCAATTAATTATTTTTTTTCAATACTTTGAATTTCCATGGAAAATATTACAATAATTGTAACACTTTTACAAATACTCCAGAAATGTATGAGTTTTATTGGAAATATTATATAAGAAACTTAAATGTACTTTTTCAAAAGTGTAGAAAATTTATTCAACTATAATTGTTTTCAGATTATGCAATTAATTATTTTTTTTTCAATACTTTCAATTTCCATGGAAAATATTACAATAATTGTAACACTTATACAAATACTCCAGAAATGTATGAGTTCTATTGGAAATATTATATAAGAAACTTAAATTGTACTTTTTCGAAAGTGTAGAAAACTTATTCAACTGTAATTGTTTTCAAATTATGCAATTATTTTTTTTTTCAGCACTTTCAATTTCCATGGAAAATATTCAAATAATTGTAACACTTTTACAAATACTCCAGAAATGTATGAGTTGTATTGGAAACATTATATAAAAAACTTAAATGTACTTTTTCAAAAGTGTAGAAAACTTATTCAACTATAATAGTTTTCAAATTATGCAATTAAAATAAGGAAATTATTTTTTTTTCAATACTTTCAATTTCCATGGAAAATATTACAATATTTCTAACACTTTTACAAATACTCCAGAAATGTATGAGTTTTATTGAAAATATTATATAAGAAACTTAAATGTACTTTTTCAAAAGTGTAGAAAACTTATTCAACTATAATTGTTTTCAGATTATGCTATTAAAATAAAGAAATTATTTTTCTTCAATACTTTCAATTTCGATGGAAAATATTACAATAATTGTAACACTTTTACAAATACTCCAGAAATG